AGAGAGAGAGAGAGATCAGATTGCAAGAGAAGCTATGGATTAGAGAGATAGATCAGAGTGCAAGGGAAGCTACGGATTAAGGAAATGGTCTTGAAATTTCTCGACCTCAGATCTGAGGTTGGCGAGCTCACATCTGAGCAGAGGAGTCTATGGCTCTGAAATCAGCTACATGAATCCTATGCTCCCTAATTTTGTTAGCATGTTGACTATTATTTTAGATACTATTGTTAACGTGGTCAAGTCTTTAATATAATAGTCACCGTGCTAACAAAATTAGGTTGTATAGGATGATACTTGATAGGACAGGCTTTCTGTTGAGCCATGTCTCAGTAGGCCCAAACCAATTTGTTGAGTTTTATCTATCTTCTGAAAAACTTGTGCATGTAGACGCCAGAAGACTCCAAAGGCAATCTACTGTTTGTGGATTGCTTCAAAAACCAATTTTGGAATGTGGCATAACATAATCTCTATTATGTTAATTTGATTCTTGCCTTTATTTATCCATTTTGGGTTAATTTGAGTCCAGGCCATATTTCATTACTGAATATTCCCGGAATGGCAGGACGAGTTATTTGTAGATAGCATAACGATAAATTTCTCAGGATTTTGAAACAACCAAGGAAAAAGTCCATCTGGATTAGAATTGCTTGATCCGAATCGGTTTTCAAGAAACCTAGTTCCCTCAATATATCAGGAATGGGTGACTCTCTGACACGGAACGGTTTCCTAGAAGGCTGGTTTCCTTGAACCTGCATCCACTCGTCTCTCAAAAGCTACAGCTCCCTTGCTCCATGTGTTTTACCATATGGGCATGGCTGTTGAAATTTTCTAAAATTAATTCGCTTACAGCAATAAAATCCCACTTACTACTTTTCATCTGGTATTCGAAAATTTAACTACTCGATAGCCACCATCAATATTCTTATTTACAGGTTTTGGAAGAACATAGGTCAACAACAAGTGACTTACTCTTTAGTGTGTTCAAAACCTGGCTCGGGGACCTGAACCGGGTGCCTGCCCCCGGGTTAACTCGGCCAATATTAAACAATAACAGAGGCAAAAGAAAAAGAGAAAAGAGATGCCCAAAAAAAACATCAAACTACACAAAATCTTAGAATTCAGAATCAAAACACTGATTTCATATTGGAGGAATATTAAAATCGTCACAAAAAAATACCCCCAAAATAACCACTGAACCATAAATGAGATTTTTTGTTTTGATACAAAAAAAAAAAATCTTTTAGGGGTTTTGTAGATCAATATCACAGGAACATCTTGGGACAAATTTGAGCTAATTTGGTCAAAAGTGAGAAATCAAAGATTTTTCTGGTTTGGGTTAACAAAACTCCCAAAATTTCAAATCAAGATCTCTTTTGAGCAAAGGCGTCAATCCTGCAAATCATGATACAAACTTGGTAGAGGGATGTAAAACATTCACTTTGAAACAAATTTCAGAAACTTCGATGGATTATTGAAGGAGAAATCGATAGAAAGGCAGTTTTGAGTTTCATAATTGCAAGTTTTTTATCATAAAATTCCACCCTAAATTGGTTTCCATAACATTTGTTTGTACATTTGACACGGGGCTAGAAGACCAGTGTGTGAAAAATGGTTACAAGAAGCCATTAACGAAGGGCTACAAAATGTTATTTTTTAATGAAAATAAAGGGGGTGGGAGACCAAATGTAACCGAGTCCAATTAAGAGGGAAATCAAACTCCGAGTCGACTCGCCAGGTTTTTAAACACTGCCCTTTACAAAGAATCCTCAAAGGGAATTGAGTAACTTAATATAGTTAGTCAGAGCAAGAGTTACATATTCAGGTGTTTTTCACCTGTTTCTGAGGTTTCAACAAATCTCAATTTAAATTGAGAAACTAGAACGTAAACTACTTTTATCAAATAAATTCTAATTTGGATCTGTTTTTGACCTACATGGGATAACAGTTATTGATTGATGTCATTCCCTGATGTTTCAGGGCTCACATTTTTTAAGTGGTAGTGACACCTGAGGCACGGTCTTTGTCAATCATGAGACATGTAGAATTTTCAGAGCCATCCCAATGGTTTCTATGGTTTGTTTGGTGAGACCATAATTTGCAAACCCTGATCAGCTCTTTCAAGATCCGGTCTGGTCTTTGGATCACGGGAATCTGGTAAAAAACCATTTCAATTTTGTCTTCTTGAGGGCCCATAGGTTGTGTTATTCATCATCTCCTGGAAGTACTGTTGTTTAGGACCTAATCAATGGGGTCACAGGTTAACCTAAGCTGCAGGCTTCTCCATTCGGGTTGAGATTTCAGGTTGAGAATGAACCCATGAGGCCACCTAAGCACCTCATGAAACTCGTGTAGGTGACCACGGCCATCAAAAGGTTCACCATATGAATTAGGAAGAAAACGATGGTTCTATACTCCCAACTATTAGATCTGGGATGATTTTAAGTTAGTGGTTGGAGACAATGTGGATAGGTTCATAATTCGAGTATTATTGTGGTCTAGAAGTTGTAAGTTATACTACACGTTTATTGTGCACGAAGAATGTCAAGGATTTTATTCCTTGGATTCTGCCAAATTTGATCATTACAAGCACAATTATGAGACACGAGTAAGAATGATGGTTACATTAGAACTTTTAATATACATTTCTTTGTAAACTTCCATTTTAGTTGGGCCTTCAGATCGTAGCTTGGAGCCTCAATGTTCATCTTTGTCTTGTCTATTCATGAAATACCACAAGCATGCTTGGCTGGGTAGTAGTAAGAATCAGTCAACTCTTCCTACAAGGGAGAGAATTGTTGATACCATCTGCTTAGAATCAATTGGCTTGGTCAAATAGGCATCCATGCCCACTTCCAAGCATTTGGCTTCATCAGATGACATTGCATGTGCAGTCAATGCTACAATCGGAATGTGTTTTCCAGTCTCCGCCTCGTACCTTCGAATTGCTTTTGTTGCCTCATAACCATCCATTCTGGGCATCTGCAGATTCTTGAAGTGGTGATTAGTAATGAACATGGAAATGGCAGATAGATTTTGGAGAGTAAAAAACCGTCGATAAGAAACTCGAGAAATCAAATGAATATTAGGAAATAAATTATCCATATCTACAACAGTCTGAAGCAGGAGGATTTAAAAAAAATTTGTGCAATATAATTAATTTTTCTTCATTAACTGATTTTCTGGTCGACCAATCACATCATACTCTTTGGGAAACCAGCACAGCAAAGTTAATGTTAAATGAAATGGCTCACAGTATTGAGGTTTTATTTGAAAGTTGCTGATGGCGACATGCAGGATGTGTTTTGAAGACATTTTAATACACATCAGGTCGAAATAGACTTCTCTTTCAGGATTTCTTGTAAGAATCCATTTAATCAGTAAAACTGAAATATATTTGTTAGTCTTTAAACTTTTCAACTTTAAGCTTTCTGAGTGCAGATAATTATCCTAATTGTTAATTATTGGTCATTGGTATTAAGGGAAAATGGCTGGGTTTTTCTTTGATCATAAGAGTTGTCGATTTGCATGTGATAATTCTTGCATCCTACCACCCAAAATAGCCACCTTTTCATGAAAATACTACCAAACATAGCTATTCTTGGCATTTCATGAATTGAAATATGATCATATCAAAATGGGAGCATATTGTGGCTTAGAATAAGTAGCGTGATAATAGGTACAAGTAGTTCAGTTAAATGAAGCAGTTGAAAGAACAGTATTCAGAAATACCTGACAATCCATAAGGATAAGATCAAATACTGGAAGATCCTGCAATTGCAAGTTGGATCCAGCTTTCCCATCTTCGAGAGATGCACTGCATCTCCTGCAGCCATCTGCTGCAGAATTGAATCTGAGGGCATCTACAGCCTGCTGCCCATCTCCAACTGCTAATACTGTTGCCCCCATTTTTTCGAGCATGATGGTTGCCACTCTCTGAAGGACTGGTGTATCTTCAGCAAGAAGTATTGTCAAGCCTTGTAATGAACTCTTTGGAGAGAGAACAATCTTGGAACTTTTGCAATCCTTCTGATTGAACTCATCAGGAACTGCTTGCAATCTACCATTTGCGTAACTTCGGCATGAATTATCAAATGGCATCGTGGAAAGTGGCTGAACATCATCTCTATCCACTTGTAACTCACTTGCATCTGAACATTCGGAGTTACATAATGGCTTCCCATGTGGTTCCTCAATAGAAAATGAACAGGACGCTCTTTTGGATGGGTATTCTTGCATTAAACATATTCCATTGTTTCTGTAAGCTGGTCTAGATTTGATTAGGCAGCATTTATTCTCCCTGGAACAACTGTTTTTCCATTTGGGATCTAACCACAATGCTGAATCCCTCAATTGCTTCTTGTCAACTTCAGCATTTCTGTCACAGCTGATCATATGATAGGAAGTCTTACCAAATGCATTTGAAGATTCATTCATATTTTCTGACTTCACAAAACTTTGAGGCATTTGACGAAAGGCATTGAAGTGCTCCATGTGTGAAATTCGCCTTTCATCTGAAGAAACTCCCTTGCAACATGTAGGTTGCAATGTCGAAAGTCCGTCTTCTGCATCATTTACAGCATGATGATGTGCACAACTTCTTAAGTCACAAATTCCGTCATCAGATGTAGCAGAACTGTTGGAATAACAATCATAATCAAATTGGATGGGATCAATTTCATCACGTTCATGTGTTTTAGCTTCAGATGTCAGAGATGATTTTCTATCATTGGTTTTCCTTGCAAATCCAGTCTCCCCCTTCACTGACACAGTTTCCAAAATTTGGATCAGTTTGGATTTGTATAAGGGCCAGTTTACCATTAATTGATAGCCTTTCTTTCTGAGTTCCATTTTTATATTGTTTGATGTGTCATGGTTTAGAATCCATGCAAAGTTTGCTCTACCACTATACTTATCCAAGTAATCAAGTTGTTCTTTCCAAATATATGTGCTTTGGTCCAGTATCTCTGCATCAACCACAACAACAAAATTTTTGGGTCCCATGTATACCTCATTGATATCCTGGGATTCAAAATGCGTAATATTTGAAATGGTGACAATGCTTGCTGAACATCCTCTCACAAGGTCACATTCAACTTCACAAGAATCACAGTTTATTTCACTTCCAAGATGATTATGCGTACCAATTCCAGTATTTCTGTTGTGTTCGAGAGTTTGACAAAGAATTTGCATTAGGTCTTTCCAATCTGAAGCTTCATGAGTATCAATACCATTTCCTCTTAACCACCGTGACATGGTGATTCTACCCATGTTGCCATTAAGGGCAAGAATTACCTGCAAATAAAGAATTAGAATTTTCTGATACTAAACTAAGGTTTGCTTGTAAAACTGGTACATGCTAGAAAGAAAATAGGATTCTAGGATGAGTTATTTGGTGTGCGAAATGATCAGTGTAACAGTGCCACTTCATTCTCAAAATAGATTGGATGGGATGGAAAATGCAACAATCTTACACTACGTGCAATGTCGGAAAATCAATGTTCATCTGTTTAATCCAACTTATATATTGTATAAATAGATACACATATGTGGGTCCACATGAATCAGTTTAATTTGGTAATAACTTGAGTAAGGAATGTTTTGAATGGGACATAATTAGAATCTTACAAAAGGCTTAATCAGTAGTGAACTGAAAGAGGGAATATCAAAAAATTCATAACTACCTTCTCCAAAATACACAGGGAAGGGCGACGAATATCAAGTATTTATGATTCATCTTTGCAATACTGAAAAGTCAGAATACTTGCTCAATTGTCACACAGATTTTGACTGGAAGGGGAAGCTAGAATTTAGTCCTGAAATGATGGGCTTCGCGAAAAGATTGTCTCACATAAAAGAAATTCTAAATATCACAGTCAAAATTTTTTTAATCACATTCAAAAAAGAAATTCTAAGTACTCATCGCCACTAAAAATGGGAAGAGAGACAAAATGGGTAGATTTTCATCCGTGTTTATAGAAAGCATTGATCAACTTACCATTAGCTTTTGCTGCACATATTCTTTTGGGTTTTTCTGGGGAATGTGGCACCCAAGTTCTACAGGGGCCCCAAAGACCAAGTATAGTTGCATCAAAGTGCCTGGTCCATCCTTTTTAACAACTTTTATTTGTCCACCCATTTTATTTACCTGAAGAATAACTTACTATTAGCTTTGATCAAATATCTATAAGATGAAGAGATTCTGCGAGCAAGTATGCAGAAAAATAAAAAGTAAGATGTACTTCACGATGATATTAAAAAAAAAAAAATTTCAATGAGAAAAATCAGCTGTCCTATTGCAAGCATTGATATGTTGGAAGATGTTAAAAAATTTAACCCTATGAGGCATATTTTTGCATCCATTTTCCTTTGGAAGAACATGCAAAGAGAAAAGAACATGCCTGTTGAAAACATTTCAAAACAAATGCTTCTCCATAGATATCTACAAAATCACAACTGGAGCCAGAATAGACAACGACTGAAATTCACTTCAATATCTCTCAATACAAGGGAAGAGACAATATGGGTTTTTTGTCTCAATGAGCATACAGAGAGACTAAGAAGGTCATCTTTGAACAATAGCAATGGAAGAGCTTAACATCTCTGACAAGAATTTGTTTCCTTGATAAAGGCAACCAATCCTTCAAATTCTGAAATAACATGATTTGCCTCATCTGAAATGGTGGTCACTTTAGATTCAGAGTCCATATCAAAATCATGATGCCCTTCTTTTAAGGATGAACGAATTGAAATTAGTTCAACTATATTAGAACATTACCCATGGGTGGAACCATCATGAAAAATAGTAATTAATAACCATTTAGTAGAACTCATCAACTAAAGATGCTATAGACAAAACCAAAACCCAAGATATTGTTTCATTAAATAATCCTGTATCATGCACAACTTGAAAACGATTCACAGTGTGCAACTATGTTTAAAATTTCAGTAGTCCGATTTTAACTTTTTTTACAAGTGTTCAACATTTAGATTAGACTTGTAACAGTTGCAGACATCATATCTTACCAAGGTACGCACTATGCAGAGGCCAAGACCTGTCCCTCCATACCTAGAAAATACAAAACCCAGTCAGAGAAGAATATGATATTTACAAACCCATGTTTCTTTTTTAATAATTAAGAACATATTAGATATCTTATTTAGAGTAATGCACTAAAGTCTTAGCGATCATGAAGCTACCAACATATTGCTAAGACCTCAGGGATTTAACTGACAATTCATCTGATTTCACTCAGCTCATGTAATCTCTACTATGGATCTGGCTTGTAGATTTTGGCTTAACTCTTGAGTTGTCATGCAATTGAGGAGGTCACCACCTCATCAATTTGATCTTTTTTATCTTATTATAAGTACTTTTCTATAAAATTTTCTTGTTTTTTCAGAAGGGTCAGTATTTGTTTACTAAGGGTCTACTCATCATTTACTTTGTTAAGTTGTTTCTACTTGAAGAGCATTTAGGAGTCCAAGGAAAGTGGAGGTTTTATGAGGGTTGCACATAGGAACCTGAGGAAGGTGGGAATTATGATTAGGTCTAAATTTCCTTGAGGGTTTGAAGTTTGTGGGGAGTTTCACAAGTGTAGAAAGACCATTTCTTTGTTTCTTTAATGACAATCAACCTCGATGTGCTTTGTCTTCACATGGAAGACAGGATTAGTGGAGAGAGATGGCACCTGGGTCGTCCAAATGCATATAAATAGCTGCTATGACGTGCACTCCCACATATCGCTTAGGGGTGCTTGTAGATAAAAAGCACGCATACTATTTATGCCATGGCTCAATATTCCACTTTTGCTATGGATTGCATGGCTAGACTATATTTTTTGCTTCTCCAAGGAATCATATCCTACGCTCCCCCCACTCCCACCCTTCTAAATGTGAAGATTGTAAATTAGCTGAACCTGTTGATTGCATAATTGATATCAGGTTGTGCCATGCTCAAAGAAATGAGGCAACCAATCAGCCTCTAGTAATTGCCACATCACTGAGGACCTCTCCTAAAGTTGTATCCAGCTTGATATCAATGTTCCAAAAGTCAGAGGCACCCATCTAGGCGGTTTGGAGGCCTGGCCTCCTAGGCAGTTGAGGAGCTTTTAGGGGGCAGGGTTTAGGGCCATGAAGGAGTTCTTAGGGCAGTTTTAAAGCCCCAAAGCCCCTGAAAATGAAAACAACAAAGAGAACTACAAGGACATAGACATCATCAGATTGCAACAAAACTCTTTGTACATGTACACATGACATTCACAAAAACTGATAAAGTAACCATCAAAAGTCAAAGACTGACGCATGATGCCCACTGCTCACATGTAATGTACCACTCAATAACTTAAAATGGCAATTCTATGTCATCACCAACCTTAATGGAATCTGATGATGATGGTATGCCATCATTGTTAGAGTCATTCCTCAACATATTGAGCATCATCCCTTGCCTCATCCGAATTTGATTCATCCTCCTCTCTCAATCCTGTCAACCTCTTCTTCTACATTGCCCCCCCCCTGCCCCCCCTCCCCTTCCCCTTCCCCTTCCCTTCCTTTGGCTTTGGGATTGAGATCAAGTAGTCCGCACATGCTCAATGGTGTCCCTGCAGCCTCACGAACCAGGGCCCAGGTCAAGCCCTCTCCAGGGAATACCTCATCTTCCCTAGCATCAACTAGTGCCACATAGACACTTTAACTTTCCTTCTGTGTCGTGTGACGACATGTATCGACACGTCGACACTTGTTGACACAATTAGCACGTTGTGGACACCTTATCCATACCATAGTTGTTGGAAATGCCTGGGAACCCGAATCATTTTAGGAACCGAAATCGCGACCGGATCGAAGATTCCGGTCTTAGGAATCGTTGTCCGTACAATAGGAATCGCCAGGAATGAGATTCCTAGTTTTTGAGAATCGCGTTTTGACCGAAATAGATCCAAGTTTCATCCACATATGGAATCCAGATTCCTATCCCCTTGGAATCGACACTTCAAGAGTCAAGATTCCTTAATATACGGAATTGAGTTTCTGACATATGTGGAACAGAGATATATTGATATTTCGAATCGTGATTCTAACATATTTGGAATCAAGTTTTTGAAGTATATGGATCAGAGATCCATGCCAGTTTGAGATTGAGATGTACAATAATATGAACTATGGAATGCATTTGACGACCCCTATCAGGAATCGAGATTTCGTTTTTATGGAGAAGGAAGCGACAAACACATCTTGAGCCTCATCAACTTTAGAACCTATATTGGATGTTTCTTATTAGAAGGTTTTTCAAATTTTAAAGTGATTGTTTTGACTATTAAACTTACAGTCAATCCTTATATACAAAAGACAAGTATTTCTAAATTGTGATGACTTCATTATTATAAAGACAAAATAGGATTATCTTTACACTATGGTTTTACTTTTAATTGTATGTGTTGTATTTACCAGTTATATTTTAAATTTAAAGTAAAAGCGATCCAGGGTGGCACAAGTAAAATAATGAACCCTGCAGCCACTAGAAGCATTCGAAGGAAGATTTCTACTCCAATTGACGTGCAATCAAGATTTAATTCTCGGTAGAATCCATATCCGATATTTTTGGGAACGTCTACCCGCAATTAATGGGTTTAAGTTTTTAAAGATGTGTTGGATCAAGATTCCGAAATTAAGGAATCGAGTTTCCTTGGTTCCGATAAATGGTTTCTAAAGATGTGCTGAATCGAGATTCTGAAATTAAGGAATCGAGTTTCCTTGGTTTCGAAAAATGGTATCTAAAGATGTGTCGAATCGAGATTCCGAAATAAAGGAATCTAGTTTCCTTGGTTCCAAAAAACGGTTTTCGTGGTGATTCCTTGACGAAAATGAGGAATCGGGTTACGGAACTAGAAACGCGAGGTCGGTGGAGAGATTCCGGCAACTATGCTCTATATGCGTCTCAATATTTAGACCACCAATACTTTGTTGACACTTGAATAGAGTTTGTTTGTTATCAGACATGCCGTATCTCCTTTTTATGCGGAACAACATGGCATTTCTCTTCCAAGTTTCGAACTCGCAACTTGTTGGCAGAGTGCTAAAATGGCAAACCACCACACCACCATGTTTTACTATATTGAACATATGGGAGATATAAAATATTTATTGGATGAAAACACAACATGTCCACCTGTATAGTGCACTTGAAAAGTCAAAGTCCACATAATTTAAATTTTAAATAAAAGAACTTTTTCTATATCTATATACTTCTTGAGGATCGAGGTACTCATAAAAATAGCACATTCACAAATAACACATTTATTACTTGAAGAAGAGTTGAAGTATTTAAATATTCTTACATGACATCTCTCTCACTCTCACTTTCTCCTTCATCTTCTCCTCTATATTTTCATAGATGCATACACACATATATACCCCATTTATCACGTGTATACATATGCTATTAGGGGCATCAATTTTTTTCTTCTATATATATATATATATATATATATTCCTTTTATCATATTAATAAAAGAAAAGGATACAATGAGACCATTTATCTTTGGTACAAGGTGGTCACAATTAATCTTGACCATTGGATGTGAAATTGGGTGGCTACATTTATTGTATTGACCGAGCTCAAAGCTCAAAAGAAATTTTCTCGAACTTTGTGACACATCCAAGCTATCAGATTTCACATCGGATGGTTACAAGTAATTGTGACCTCCTTGTAGCAAAGGTAAATGGTCTCATTGTATACAATCCCATTAATAAATATGGTTTATACATTAAAATTTAAACTACTTTTTACGGATATATTATATTATCAACGGTTCTACAAATTACTTTTGCATAAAACAGTGGAATATATTTCTACTTTTGAAACATAATGAATTTATATTTTCATTTTTAATTTTAATTTATTAAAATTTGAAATTTTTTATGATTTATATATATGATAAATTCATATATAATAGTTGTATGGACGTGACGGGACAGTACTGGGTTTTTAGACAGAAGAATTAGATGCTTAAGACACGTAATAGACACGATACTTGTGTCCGTGGACACTGGCATCAACTTTTGATAATGCTGAACAAAGACAACGTCGTTTAGTCGTTTTTACTAAGTCTATTCCTCTTCTTTGTATGGACCTATTAGATAGTTGTTGAATGAGCAATTAGAATGTACAAAAACATAATATAGATTAAGTTAATAAACTACCTAACTAGCTAAGTAAATACAAGCAATATTACCGTTTCAAACGTGTTCAAGTTGCGATCACATCCAAAAGAGCTACAAGTCAGATTCACTATACGAATGGCCATCTGCCACAAATGTGGGGTGCTTCCCCCATGGCTTGTCCACCATGCAACTATTTCACATAAATATAAATGTAGCACATAACGCATCTATATAAAATTGAAATTTAATACTCAAATCATGAAATCAAAATGAAGAAGTTCTAAGCTCACAAGGAGAGATCTTGGTCCTCTGCCTTATTGCCAACTCATTTCCAAGAGACCCCCTTGAGAGCCTATATTTGCTGTATTTTTCTAAATCCAATGTTACCTTGTCTTGGACTTCATGATCAGAGTTGAGTTTGATATTGCATTGGTTGATTTTCTTCCATGAAATCAGTCTTGCAATGTATCTCATGATCAGGGTTAAGGTGGTCCCCTTGCTAAGTGTAGGGGCCTCTCAAGCTGGTAGTTCCATTTATCTTCTACATTCTTCAATTATTCTTCATACTTAGCTTCATCATTCCCATGAAATTTCTTGCTTCTTAGCATCCTTCATAGCTTTATAAATGTGACCCATCACAGGTTCCTTCTCAGCATCAACCATCTTGAGTACCTTTACTAATGGCTAAGAAACATATCATGCATAATACTAAAGCCTATTTCTAAATCGTGAGTCCATGACAATCTTCATTGCTTCCTATCTTATTTCTTGGCCGACTTGGACTTGTTCCAATCCTCAGACAAAACATTAACCTCAGCTTTCCATTTTGCTCAAACAAAGATTGCAAAGACAAGTAGGAGGTGGAAATCTAGTCACCCCAACTCTCACCAAATCTCTACCCTCAGTGAACTTTCTCATCATGGACAAGACCTGGCCAACATAAATTTCCCTTACAAACTTACAATAACATTACATAACATGTATGTATTCAAAAGGAATCAAAACACGTACCAGCACAGCATAGTATAAAACTCATGTTCTTACCTGAGTGTGTATGTATAAATAGACTGTGATGGTCTTTGCTTTTTCGATGGTTGTCTTCATGGACTTCCTCTTACCAATTGCCTCACGCATGAGGTCTGTGTAATGTGAAATGCAAGGCGACCAAAAATTACGCGGCCTCTTTGCCATCAACAACCTAGCTGCTGCCATATTGGCTGAATACATATTGATCACTATTTAGACCACTTTATCCTCGCCCACCTCCTCTACGCACTGGTCCACCAAATCTTGTCGAAAGCATCAATAAACCTTAAGAACAATGGGCAATTCACCATCAAATTCATAATGCTTCTATTTCGCTTATCATTGCAACCATCAGTCATAATAGTGTAACCGTATATTCCCCATGCATCCTTGTGTCTTCAAAAAGTTATTAATAAGAATCCATAGGCCCTCTTCTACGAGGTCTCTTATGCATGGACCCCATTGGCCTACTAGAAGATCCAACCTCGGCATATATATTCCCTACCTCTCCCCAAACTCAAAAAGTATCCACAGTTCTGACAATTTCTTCATGTCTTTTCCTCACCTACTCTTTCTTGTTTTTAAACCCCTCCAAGTGCTCCAACATCTCTCTCCTAACCTCAGCTGGCACTTAAGTGCATGGGATCACATCCTCTAATATTGTCTAAATGTTTCTTTAATATGTTAATACCGGCATTATATGATCTCCTGCAAAACTTACACTCCACCCTATTCTTGTCAATGGGATTTCGACAAGATCTGTACTTCCAACCCAAATCACTTTGCTAATTTGATCTAGTTCAAGACATTTTCATCACTCATGACTTACAATACAACTAACAAAGTCACAGTCATTCACTGAGTATCACCTAATCAACAAATTTGAAAGATACAGAAGATGAAAGTATTTAAAAAAAAAGGAAAAAAATTTAAGTTTTAAATGAAGGCTATAATGTAAACAAAACAAACTATGGTGGTCTCCACTTCTTTTTGTTTCCATCTTGTATATACTTTGAATTCCTTTTTTCCAACATCAACACCATAGGATTGTGCCCCTCTATCCTCCAGAGCTCCAAAATCAAGAAAAATAGGAACAGGAAAGGGAATATGAGAGCTCTCTTCCGCACTATGCACCCTTTGAAGAGAGGTAGGGAAAAAAGAAAATAACTCAGAATTTTGCATCCATCGAAATAAAAATTTCTACCTTGACATTGCATCATAGGATTTATAACCCTTTCGAGAGGATGGATAACCAAGAAAAATACATTTCACATATTTGGGGTCCAACTTTTTACAAGTTAGACCAACAACATAAGCGAAGCAAACACAACCAAGGACTTTAGGAGGAACACTAAAATGTGGACGATCAGGTGGAGAAGTATATAAGGAGATTTGTCGCCAAGAACATGAGAAGGTATGCAATCGATGAGATAAGGTGCACAAATATTGCTTCTGACCCATACTTCTTGAGATTCACACTCAAGAGAAAAGCATGACTAACTTCCAAGAGGTGTCTACTCTTACTTTCAGATATCCCTTTTTGTTGTGGGGTATATGAGTAAGAACTATAACGTTCTATGCAAGTTTTTCAAGGTGGGACAACAACTCTCTGTTGCAATACTCTCTACCTTGATCAAACTTAAGTACCTCAATTTTAGTATCAAACTGTGGATGGATCATCTAATGAAAGACCTTAAAGGTTTTAAGAACTGCATCCTTGGTCCTCATAACATATATCCACGTACGCTGAGAGTAATCATCCTTGGTCCTCATGTGACTCTCTCTCTATCTCTCTCAGCTATCTCTCCAACTTTTTCTCTCCTCCTAAGTCTTGATATTTCTTATACTTTTTAATTTCCATAAGTTGAGTGGGGACATAAAAACATGGTGAAAGCCTACTTTGGTAGGTGATCCCTTACAAGATTTCAATTTTTTCGCTCCCAAAATGGAACTCAGAGATCTTAGTCTTTTGGTCTTCAGGATCCGCTCCTTTTATAAATGGAACGAATTTCCTTTAGCTATGCAATTTTGTTCTCGGCCACTATAGGATCTAATTCCGGAGTGATATGGGTCTCGATCCTAAGAGTCGTCGCATCTAGATTCCATTACATTGGAACACAAGGATCTTCTAGTATTCTCTCTCGTCTTGTGGTTGTAAGGGCCATACTTTTGGATGTTGTTCTCTCTCTCTCTCCCTATATATATGTATAAATATACCTCAAGTAATATTTTATTATAAGTTATAGTTTACACTTACGCATAGTTTTACTTTTACATGTATCAATAATTCTCGGTGATCCTCTAAAACGAATGCTCTGCCTTCCTTTGCTTATTTAGTAAGCAATAATAAAAAGAAACTTAGTTCGTGTAAATATAATTTTGGGTTATATTTTCTTACACATAGCTATTCAAAGAAAAGATGGCGGCAATGAAGTATAAGTTTCGCACTTAAAAGTTAAAATTGTAAAGTTCATAATTTATTTAATGAATTGATGTATCTACTATATTAATATAATGAACTATGGAGTAATTTATAGTACCTAATTTATTTAATAAAATTTTACATATCATTAATTAACAACATTGGGAACCACCCTATAAAGCTAGGGAGCCCAAATTAAGCTTAAACAAGGATCTCGTTTTTCAAGTAAATGGAGCTCACTCCTATATAATTTAACCCTCGCTTCATATTATTTTGGATCATTTTTCCTATTGCACACCTTATGTTAAGAAGCTCAAAAACTTGCACTGGGAACTTCGTTTCCAAATCAGAGGATCTCGCTCCCTAATGTTATCATAATTGATCCCATCTAATAGAGGAACTTGATCCCTAACACACCTAGACCAGGTTCCCTACATTTGAGGCTCTGCGGACATCGATCCCAAACATAGGGATCTTCGAGGTAGCTTAGATCCGTCGATCCTACCCCTGATTCTTGAACCATTCCCAACCCTGTTCCCAAAAACTATGGTGCAAATAGAGAAAACATGTGCCAATAGTAATGCCTTACTTCAAATTTTTTGATTTTTTATTTATTTAGTGTTTTTAGAATTAATGTCTTTCTGGTAACTCAAAAGCTCTCTAGAGCACGTGTGGTACCTCCAATCACAAACTAGGTTCAACATCCTGCTTTCGAATACAACGAATATTAGAACAACACATACTCCTCTCAGTAACATGATGGAGACCCTAAGTTAGGATCATCAACCAAGCCTTTGGTTTGATGGTGAGACCCCATTTTGCTGTGAGAAAGTTCTGAGATAAACTACTTTAAAGGAGATTTGGGGTTTGAAGTATGAAATAGGAGAATACATAGACATGTGCAGCACAATTGCAACTTGTGAAACATGTGAATGTACTGCTATCTTGTGATTGCATAACTCCAGCTATATAACTTTCAATTGAAGATGTTCATGGAGTTTTCGCAAGATATAACCATGAAACCCTAGCAGAGAAGAACACAATTATTTCTCCATCAAAATGATGTCAGAGTATATCCATTACATAAAATATATCTGGGAAAAAAGAGAGAGATTTACACTTGCACATAAACATCTAATATGAAAATCCATTGTAGAGACTTATGCATATGCATATACATCAACAGATAGGGCTGCAACACGGTGTTATTTGGTTGGAATGGAAATACATCCACCCAAAAATATGATATGTGAATCTCACTGATCGATGGCAATGTGATATGTGAATCTTAATGACTCTATAGAGAGTCCTAAACATGTTACCATTCAGATGCTAATTCAAACATATACTATAGTAGGCTTCTATGTCTATTTTGTGACTGTTTCCTGATCCTAAGAACACCAATTATCTTCAATGCTGATTTGTCACAGAGGCAATGAATTAGACAGTGTCTTTTTTTATTTTTACAAATTTATATTTTTAATATGTTCGTAATTTTATCTGAGGAGCTGCTGATAAATTTAAATGATGATGCCCATTTAGCCCTTTTAGGAATTGCATCTAAATAAATTACACAATTAAATAGGAGTAACACCAGTTGCCAGAACAAACCAGTGAGATATGATAAAAGGGCCATATATTTACATACATTCGAGTGGTTGATGGGTCTGCTTGCTCAAAACTCTCAAAAACAGATTCCCATTTGCTTGGAATGATTCCTACATAAATAAACAAATAGGAAAGTTTTGATCCCCAGAAATTGATTACCATTTGTGACAAACTGAAAATATTAAAATTTCAGGAACAGCGACAACAAAAAACATGCTATTCATATAATATAATTCACTATAACTTTAAACATACCACAGCCTGTATCATCAACTTCAAACCAAAGTGTGATCTGATCATCCCTCTTGAATGATCCTTCTCCAATGCCACCATGTTGCTTGACTTTCTTTTTAAGGGAAACCTGGGTGTTCTGTTCATCAAGCCATGGCTTTCTTTTGCAGCTGAAATTATTGGAGAATCCAGTCCATCCTCTTAAAATGAGATGCCCCGCTATTCCCAATTCAGAACATCAAAATGAGTGAGTTAACCTTATAGATAATATATCTTGAATCCCAAAAACAAGACTGATCAACATAAATAACATTCATTTTACTCCTAATGGTTCCAAATAAGTAACAAGCATTGTTATTCCTAATGGGCTTGTCCTTGAAAAAAAACAATTGGTATTCACAAGCTTTGAATTGCCCTTTGTCACACTCTGCCATGATTACACAAGATAACAGCAGGCAATCATTGAGAAACTTCAGTAACAAATCAAGATCGACATCAATATACAACCAAAGATTAAGTTTTCTTGAGAAGTGGACTTGTCCAACTTGGATATCCTATGACAATTCCTTACTTGGATGCTACATGTTGTACCTTGTCATGCCAAAACCTGGTTGAGCACCTACAGGAGTCCAGACAACTTCTGTAGTCTGAGTCATGAAATGCTGTCACTAACAGTAAATTAAGTGATGAACAAGTGCAGCCTTCTACTAAGAGTAGACCAGAAATGGACAGCAAAATGCACTGAAGGCATGTGCAATTTTTCACGGATAATTGAACATAGATGTCCCCTGAATGTGACAAACTGTCTTCATGAAGTAGGATCTTGGAGGAGATCATCATCAGATGCTGAAAGCCCAACATTAAGCTCGACTGATATGTCAACCGCCGTCCTATAAGACAAATAAGGCTTGTGGTGCATTTCCAAGACCATAGATGACCTTCCTAAGTGGATGAATAAGGAAATAATCATTCACAACCCCGGAAATATAACTTATCCTTGGTATCATAATGTGCATCTGTATCATTTATTCATTTCCTATTTATTTTTTTTCACTTATTGATTGTGGTCGTTCTATACAAGAGCTGGTCCAAGGATTGCTAATATGTTGTTAACAACCACATACTTCAAGTCAACAAGTCACGATATCGAGGTCACATTATCAGTCTTCTCTCCAATAGGAGCAACAAAAAGCTACATTGAGTTTAAGTTGGGCAATTCCCAAGCATATCCAGCAGATTTTAGATCAATTGACCGTAGAGTGTGTCTCAATCTTGTGCATTTTGTTCAACATACCTTACAGCAATGTTTTAAAACTGTCCATCTCAGGTGCCTAGGCAGCACCTTGATGCACCTCATCTAGGGCTATGCAGAACCACTAGGCAGGGCGCACACTTAAAGGCTGCCTAGGCATCTGAAAAGGCGCATAAGCAGGAGTTTCTCAACTCAGCCGAGGCACCTGCCTTGGGCTTGCCTACCCGAGAACCCAAAACTCCCTTGGAGGTAAATGCATTGGAGGGATATTCTTACCCTTCTTGAAAAACAAATCAACCAATAAGTTCTTGAAGTCAATCTTAAGATTAAACAAAATACCATTTTTGAAGAAATCGATTTTGATGTTGATTGGATTGGACTACGTTAGAAAATACAAGAGAGGTTGGAGAGGAAGTGTTGAGGACTTTTTGAGTCTAAATATCTACAACAGCAGCTGATGATTGGGCAAGAAAACGCTAGTTCCCTAAGTTCTCTATTAAATTTCAATGTATTTTGAATTTTCCCAGTTCAAACAGGAGGGGTGTTACAGGTTGCAAATATGTTTATAACCAGGATAAAATGATCAAGATAAGGTTTAATGTAATTTTTGCTATCAAGAAACAAATGAGGGAATTAACAAATCAGAAAAACATCTTGCTGCTATTGGGGGGATGATGCCCATGTAAAAACGTTTCAGCAGATGTTAGGAAGGATGCTGTAAAAATAAAAAAAGTGGATAAGGAGGTTATGATTGCCAAGTTGACGGCCGGGATCAATGTTTTGGTGATGAGGAGGATGATGATGATGGAGATACTGATGTAGGTTCCTCTTTGGCTAGTAGTAAGAGAATCAATTGAGTTTAGGAGGCCCCATGCAAAAGTCGGTGTTCATTTTCCCCCCAACCTTGAGGCTATTGAACATGATAGGGAGAAGGGAAGAAGCAAACCACCATTGAAGACAAATTAAAAAAACATAGGGACCGGGTTTACCAGTATATTGCTGATGGATGTACCATGGGGGCATTTCCTTTAATACCACTCACATAAAAAGTTATTATACAATGTTTGAGGATGTTGGCCGATTAGGGCTAGAACTTAAGGGCCTAAACCTCTAGGAGCTCAGAAAGCCACTGTTAAGGAGTACCTCTAGACCCAAAGGGTTGCATGGAGCAAATATGGGGCTACCACATGATAGATAGCTGGAGTGATAAAAAGTGGTGTAATGAACTAGATGGTGGAATTGTCCTCTCGGACAATGTTTTTGAGACATGTTGGTGCTTTTGCTCATCCTCATGATGTATTGTACATCTTCTCTCTGGTTGGTAAGTACATTGAGGAACTTGGAGAGAAGCAAGATATACAGGTGGTCATAGACATGGCTCAGCCAATATCGCTGCTCTGATTTTATTGCACCAAAAGCAACCTTGTATTTGGACACCAAGTGCAGAACATTGTCTTGGCCTCATGCTTAAGGGAATGTCTAACATGCAAGGGGACACTTTGTGATAGACTAAACGTTTGTTTTTTACCGATTCATCCCGTGTGGGTGACTTTGGACCCTCACATCCATGTAATCATTCTCCCCAGCAATACAATGTTAACTTTCTCTCAAAAAAAAAATGGGACACTTGATAAAGCTAAGTCTTTGACGGTGTTCATCAAAAATAATATGAGAAGAAAATGCACTCAAAAGAGGGATTTGATGAGGCCAATGGCTACAAGGTACCACTACCATAACTCTACAGGGCATCATCGATCACAGAACAAGCTAATTGTCATGTTGAGCTCTAGAGATGGCATGTGATATTGTTTATAGAACTCATTTTGGAAGGAGTTAGTTTACTCCATTGAGGTTTAAAAACAAGCATTGTGTATGGTGAACAACAAGGTGTAGCCAGCCGTGGGCTTTATATTTGATGCAAACAAGGGAGCCAAGAGAGAGAGAATTTCGCCTTGGAGAATGATGAGAACCTGTATAACCCTATATGGAAAATTATTGAACAAAGTGGGACATAGAGCTTCATCACCCCTTGCATGCAGCTGGGTCCTACTTGAACCAGGGGCGTTTAGGTTCCATGAATGAAGTCAAGGCGTAGGTGGTCAAGATGATGAGGTGCCACAATGTGACGTCCTAAGTTACGTTTCTACTAGATCCTGAGTTAACATCAAAACAAAAAAAAAGAATGAAACGAAAATGAAGGAAAAAGAAAAGAAAGAAAAAAGAGGGCATTTAGGTCCCAGGAAATGAATCTTCAAGAGATGTATTTCCTAGAATTACAGTTGGGCAACCTGTTTGGCACCCAAATTCGGACGCAATTCTTGAATTTGTGCCTCCATAAAAGGCAACATTTTCAACAAATCCCCATCCAAAGAGATAGTCGGAATAGCCATCTCGATGGATTGGCATCTTTATGGTCAGGAATAAGTACTATTCAGCCCAATGAAAAACGTTGCATTTCTAGCATGTTTAGAGAGAGAAAGGATATAGAGAGAGGGCACAATTAGAGAAGGAGAGGAGTAAGATAAAGACACGTTCGAGAGAGAACGTAGATCGGAGAAAGAGAAGATAGTGTGAGAGAAAGGGCATGGTTAAAGAGAAAATGGAGTTAGAGAGAGTATAGAGAGAAAGGGCACTAGAAAGACAAACGATTTCGAGATAGAAATGACACTTCAAAAGAGGGAAAGGAATTGTAAAGAAAATGAGCGTCAAGTTGACGAGAGAGAAAGGAGTCAAAGAGAGAAAGGGAGTGGTTGGAGAGCGAGAGAGGAGCTAGAGAGATAAAGGACACAACCATTCACATATTAAGCGCTACTATAGTTACCAACACACCCAAGAAGGGGGTCGGTCCAGCTCCAGAGCTCGACCCTACATTCTAAGGGAAGGGATCTCGATACTTGATTTTTTAATTCAAGGATCGCGATCCTCAGTAATATAGGAACCAAGATCCCTATCATAAAAACCATGGGTCCATGAATAAAAGGAATCAAGCCTCCACATTGCAATCAAAATTCCTTTTACAATGGGACCAAGGATCTCCATCACATTTGAGATTTTTTTACCATGGGACCATGGATCACCAACTGACCAACACATTTGAGTTGTCTACAATGTTTTTAAACCAATGAGTTCTTGACAATTTAGCATAGATTCTTTACTTTGGGAGGTTTTTATGACCTATTGTTATATTTTTTTAGACACCTCGTTATTAGTTTCAAAAAAAGTGGCAAGAGAGGGCAGGGAGAGAGTGCCAAGCAAGAGAGATCTTATTAAGAAAGAGATAGGGGTGAGAACAGAGAAGACAAAGGATGTTGGGTTGCAGTAATTCAAGCCTGGAAAGAGGTGGTCGTTGAGAGGATTAACCTCCTTTAGGCTAATTTAGTAGGGTCATGTCCACCTCTCAAAGATCTCCAAGTTCTACAATCGTAGTGCTCAAGGTTGCAGAGAACGCAAGTGGTTTGCAGAGCTATCTGCGAATCACAAAGGGCAGAGCTTCGTTACAGCCTGCGATCAGAATCTTTGTATGGTGGCCATTAGCCCAATCTCAGTTTCTAAAAAATTTTAACATATAAATTTATGAAGCACACTCAAAAGGATAACAAAAAACAAGACGTTTTTTAAAGATGGGAATTTTTGTATTTAATGATATTTTAAATTCAGAAAATGAATTAGTCAAATTGTTAAATAAACTTCCTTCCCTAGCCAGATTACCCTAATGAAGTCCTCTTTGGGGGCCACGATTTTAAGCTGGACGACCTTGATCTCGTGTACTTTATTGTTCGATCCCAATATAATTGGATTGTACTCCCCTTCATTTTCGGATAAAGGCCCCTTTGTCTCAAGGCGTATGGATCTCGATTTCTGCTTGTCTCAATCCCGCGATCCCAATCCCGATCTGGGATTTGATACCGATCCCACCAACTATGAGTTCGATGTGCAACTCATCCAATTGCAAGAGGAATTGCGTTCA